CACATTTTCCATAAGGAGTGGCCTGAAATACAAAACCAGTGAGTTTGGGATAGATCTCTGGTTTGCCAGCCTACCTTCTCTATGACTATAAATTTCAAATAGTCTCACTTGTGTTCTTAGGCAAATGTGACTGCAATATCCTGACCTCAGTACTTATATAAAGTCATATGGGTCAGAGTGGCAGATCTGGAAGTCTTGAATCCTCAGCCTCAATTACAACAAAATTTAGTATTAATAGTTTGGACACCCTGCCTCACATACTTTTTCTTAACTCATGTATGAAGAGAATAATCATTTCTTTAGAGGATATCATCAGCCCAACTCTATTTTTATTCATTCTTTAGTTAATAAGACTGTGAAACAAAATTACCATATATTAATATTTGCTTCTCAAATTGTTTATTTTACCTTGGTACCTGTACAATAATTTTGAGGCAAAAACAAGATGGCCAAGGCATACATAGCTCTAAAATAACTTTTCATGTGCAAAGATTGAATAGGCATTCTTTTATTGTAAATGCAAAAAGAAAATATCTATGCTAATACCAAACTCTGGACTCTTATAATTGTTGTCATTACCCCTTTCATTTCATAATCCAAGCATTCCATGGTAGGCAAACCTGGAACAATTGAGCACAAACAATATTTCTTTGAGTCTAGCTGCCAACAGTGAGATCACTGGAATACTGTCACATCCTTCAAAGAACATTTCCACTCCACGCTCTGCTGTCTCTTCCCTCCCATTTCTGTGGGGGAACATACATGTGCTTAAGCTTGAACGGCTCCCAGCAATCAGGTTTTTCACTTCCTGTTATCATTCCACCCAATTAGCAGATCATATCCGTACCTTCTTTCTAGTGTTGACATCAAGTCTTGGATATCACACAAGGCCATTTTTTCTCTTGCTTTTAGAACAACCTCATCTCATCACCAGCACTGTCTCTTGCTTTGGTACGGTTGTTGGTGCACATTGAAACTCCCAGTGTCAAGAGATTGCTGCTCAGCTCACCTTCGAGGTGCTACCACTCTCTGAAGCCAGTGCTGATGCTGATAGAGGAGATAAGTTTGGAGCTCATTCTGTGGCTGCCATCCCGACCCACTCCTTTGATGTAGAGAAAATCTTTGTCCACCATTTGTGTCACCCTCTGTTAATCAAGTTCCAAAGTAGTGTTACCTTGTCCTCTCAGTATTTTATAGACTTTGGGTAAAAAGAGAGTATTAGATTTTCTCTGAATTCCCTTTGTTTCTAGGAGCTAGACATGCATCCATTGGAGCTATGCCAGAAGTAGTAACTCTGAGTTATACAGTCAAAAATCATCTCTTCTTCATACCCCCTGGAACAGTGCTCTGAATTTATGCTTTAGGGGCTCACCTTTTCCTTAAGATTTCTTTTTGTTCATGAAATTGATCAATCGTCATTCAAATATAAGCCTGGAGAATTAAACCTACCAATGTTCTAGCTATGCCTAGAGGTGTCTGAATCCTAAGGTGACTAAGCTTATGCTCCCAAGCTGGTATCCTTCTCGTCCTTTGTTATACTGCTGTTTTCATTACTCCACCGATTTCCATTTCCATTGTTTATTCAATTCTTAATCTTTACATACTATATATATAACATATAAAATAAACATATTATTTGTTATATTTCTTATATGTTATATATGTATTATTTATTAATATATAATTGATATATCAAACACATTATTTATTATTAATATATTCATTATATATCAGTAATATAATTACTAATAAGTAATTATTATTATTTAATATTTATTATACAATAAATACATTATTTATAAGCTAGAGACCACTCGAAATAAGGATCAACTTTGAAAAGTAAATCCATGATGATACACACGCCCCTACAGTCTTCCTAAATCAAAATGCTTTAGGTAGGTCTCTTTGTATATTTGCAATACATAAAATATACTGTACATTTAATGATAAAATTCAAAATGTTCAAATACATTTTATAAAGGATTTGCTATTTTTAATACTGGCAAAAAAGTTCCTATCAGCACTTCTAACAAAAATAGCTGCTCAGCCATTCAGTAGGTTTAGTCAACATAATCAATGTAGGCATATTGAGCCTGAAGGAGTAGTTCAAATAGTTAATGCTTCTGTGGTGTAGCTCAAGACTAAGGGTAACTGAGCAAGCATTAACTTATGGAATCTTAATAGTCACCTCATTGCTGAAGTAAAAAGGAAACCAAGAGGAAACTTAATAATATTAAAAGTTATTTTAAAGGGAGTTCACATTGGTTTGAAGGGTACTTTGCTTCACACACAATATCCACCTTTGTAAAACCCAAGAAACCCATATTTGTAACATACACATATCTTTACAGTTTTCAGGACGTAAATCTTTAGAGCAGTATTATTTCTCCACAGATAAAAATTAAAATATTGAAAGTCTTTGGAATAATAATAAAGCAACACTCTTGCATACCAAAGGAAAGTTGGAACTTTGTGTTAAGTGCTTATTTAACTATAAAGGGGTCAGTGTGTGTTGTAATGAATAGAAAACTAATTTTATTGTATTCCATTTGTGAATGTCTTGCAGCAACCTATTTCAGTATTAGAAAGATCACATATTAAAAATGATTTCTGCAGTCATCAATGTATACAAGTAAAAATATAGTTCCTGTTAAATTAACACTTCATTAAAATATCAAAATAAAAGCTTTGACAAATACTTTTTATGTTGCACTCCAAGACAGAAAAAAAAATTTAAAAATTTAAAGAACAGATTGCCAGTTATTCTATTCTATAACAGTTAAGTTTCTCAGTTCTTTTTTTTTTTTTCTCTTTTGCTGAGCTCTCTGTCACTGGAAACATCTTAAACCAATTTCAAGTGCTACACCTGAATAAACATGTTGTAAAAGTGTTTATGTATTGAAGTGGGTCAGTTCAAGGTATGGTATTTGGCTGGAACTTCTAATTTCTCTTTTTACAGCAAAAAGGCTGCCAGAAGGAGGAAGTCTGAGCTGAATTAATACATTTGTTACAGTGGAAGTAGAATGGAAACTGCTCTGACCACAAATCAAGCTGCCTCTTTCATTTATGCCAGTGATAGAGTTTTTCTAAGAAATATAGATTCTGGCATAGAGCCACCATAAGTTTGCATTTAAAAGAGAAACGTATATGCTTATTTGTTTGAGGTTTACTGCTTTGGTTATTTGTAAGTCCTTTCTCTGGTAGGACTGAGCGCAGTGGCACTTGTGAGGCAGATGGCCATTTTAATACTTGTAGAAATTGTACAATTTTCCGAGTATGCTGTAGGACAATTGTGGAGGATACTTATGCTGTCTGGATTGGTGCAGACTTTTTTTTTTTTCTTTTAACCAATACCTCCACATTTAAAGGACCTCTGTGTCCCTCCCAACAGCTGCACAACCTCACATGACACAGTCTCATTTTCTGACGGTAGAAGGTCTCTGCACAATACAAGTATACACAAAAGTGTTTGTGCTGCCAAAATAAATTTTGTTAAGAGCAAGGGTTTATTTGCTAAAATGCCATTGATGCTGTTTCAGGGACTTGCTTTCCTTTTCTTTCTTCTAAGGTGGGTCAGGTCTTACAATGGACCGAGGTTGCTCCACAGTCTTTACTGAATAAATATTTTAAGAAAACATGCACATCTCTCAAGGGGTAAGCCAGAGTCAATCATGCACATATTTCAAACCACATTATATATTACTCTTAAAAGATCAGTAACGTCTGTGTCTAGTGTAGAAACTTCGCATACGTTTTGAGTAATTCTCGACTAAATTTACAACTTCAGGTTGAATAGTTCATCTTCTTTGAGTAATTTTCAAGGAATCAGATATCAGTCAATAGTTTTCCTTTTCATGTATATGCATTATATATATATATAATTTTTATTGATTAGTTTAAATTAAAAGAGCCTAATGAAATTATAAAAAAGAGAGACTAGCAATACCTAACTCCTAAGGCATTTGTGGAATCAATTTAAATAATGCATGAAAACTATTTAGAAAAATGGCTAGCAGATAGATACATAGCAAGCACTCCAAACATATACAATATGGTTATAATTACAAGTATTATCATTACTACCCCCATGGGAGTGGTATTTCATCAACATCCACTTCTAGTCTATAGGGCACCTTGACTTCTAACTCATTCCTGTAGAGGTCCTAGTTGTATCCCTCTTCCCTGACACACAACCACATCGGTGGGCTCAGAAAGTTCTGAGATGCAGGCTAGTTTAGAGGCAAAGGTGAGTCTCAAATCTCACTTGGATTTTTGCCTCCATTCTGAGAGTCTCCAGGCTTGGTTCATCTCTTTTGAAATCCTTTCAGTAAACATTCAGGTGTGTCAAAACTTAGAGGGGAAGGGTTTCTGAAATGTCCATGTTTACTTCATATTGAGAATTAACTGGGGCTTAATACATAACCTCCATCCCCAGACAGGGCTTGCAGAATGACCTGTGAAGAACTTGAATTAGAGTACAGCTTTGTAAAGTTTGCTGGGCACTGGCCAGGGGTGAAGAGGGAGGAGGCTATCAGCACTAATTAACACTTGAAAGGCTTAAAATAGGCTGGAGAAAGTAGAAACACTCTGCCAGGCATTTAGCTTTTATCACTTAGGGGAAAATTATAGGGCATTTAGTGCAGAAGAACCCATAGCTAATATTTTAAAAATTGTTATTTAATGTGGACATTTCCAGGCTGATGAGTAGTGAGACCTTTCCATTTATGGTATACCTGACTTCAGGGTCTGAGAAGCTATCAGTGAGTGAAAGCAGCTGGAGGGTGTTCTGTGGTGGAAGGATGATGTAAAAGGAAAAACCACGCAGAGATAATTTTCTGTAATAGTAAACTTCAGTGTTTGTAAGAATCTTGACCTGTAAAGAAAACATTCTGATAATGTTTTCAAACTTTTCTGTTTTTCAAAATACCCTCAGAATTCATTCATGTCAAGTAAACGTTCTTTCTTGTTCATAAACCAAGCGCTTGTGCATTCTGTTCTAGGACGCAGTATCAACGTAAAATCCGCTGGTCTTGTGGGAAGACATGGGCCTCAGTCAAAACAACCTTTCATGGTGGCCTTCTTCAAGGCAAGCGAGGTACTTCTTCGATCCGTGAGGGCAGCCAACAAACGGAAAAATCAAAACCGCAATAAATCCAGCTCTCATCAGGACTCCTCTAGAATGTCCAGTGTTGCAGGTAAGATAAAAACCCGGGCAGCAGTTGTGCACAGAGAGTTATGGGGTCGTATGTTGCAAATCAAGTAGCCCCAATAAATTTACTCTCTGTATATACCTTCCTATGGCATATTAAATCTTCCAGTGATGTTTCTAGCATCCCAGAATGTTTCATCAGTGAATCACTCAGCAATTCATTTTAAAATAAGTATGACTTGCCTTCATATATTGAAAGATTCAGTTCAAATTAAAATCAAGCTGGCAGTAATAAAATTATGAAATGGCTAGATCAACAAAGTCCAGCCAAAACTAAACTAACTTCCCCAGGGTTTCTCAAAGATGGATGATCAATCAGGTAAATTCAGCATAAAATTCCTTTCTTTAGTACTTAAATCCGTACATGTGAATTATGCACCTCAATTTTTTTCCTGAAAATAGGAGCAGGATAGATAGTATGATAATAAGGTAATATTTATATTTTCACGATTACTTGGAAGGGTATTATCTAGAAAATTTGCTTTAGGTATATGTTTACACAATGTATATGTAAAATCTTTCAACAAAACATTACAAATGCCCAATTGATATCAAAGTATTT